GCCATGGATGGATTTTGAGCTCTGGCTGCTGTTTAAGAATAGTCTGTTGAGGACAAGAGTAGAAATGGGGAACCAGTTGGAAGGCTATTGAAATAATACTTGTGAGAGATGATGGCTACTTGGATAAAGTTGGTAGTAGTCAACGTGGAAAGAAGTGGTCAAATCCTGGGTATATTTTGAAAGGAGAGTTAACGGGATCTGCTGACCTATTATTGAAACATTCTTGCCTTGGAGCTGTATGCAGTAATTGGATAAGGCTCTGGATGGTTTCCCTTTGGGAATAGGGGGAGTGTGGTTTTATGTGGGATAGCTGTATTTTGTTAGGAAGCTATTTTTGATGTTGCATTTCTAGGAAGAATATATGTTGACACTGGGCAGCTAAGGGGTGGAGTGTAGCAGCCAGCTACTGTTTTAGCCTGTTCATCACACATTTCCTATTCTTATGGCCACAGAACTCTTCCATTTGGGAGCTGCTCTCGGCTCAGCTCCTGATTCCTAGGGTGAACACATGATCCAGGAATTGCCAGTGTGCTACATGTTCTGGACAGTGTTTGCTTAGGAAAAATGATGTGATACAATAAGGGCCAAGGACATGCCTCCCTGGATTTTTGCTGGAATTATCAGGAAAGAGCCAAGTTTCCCTTCTGAGATCACAGATATCAATGACTGCCTGAGAATGGAGGCAACATAGAAAAAAGCAGAGTCAACTGGGAGAGGTACTGTCCTGATGGTATCATTTGAGCTCCTGAATCCAGCTAAGCCTCAATCCAGCTGCATCTCTGGGTTTCCTGTTTAGGAGATGAAAATGTTTTCTTTTCTTTCTTCTTTTCCCATGAACTAATTTGGGTTGTATTTCTGTCACTTGGCAACAAGGGCTAATATCTGGTCAGTATGCACAGGTATAATGAGATATTTCTGCATCGATTAGTAAATAGCTGCTGCCTCAGGCCTCCCATGTGCTCCCCACCTCCTCTGCCTCAGCTGTCCTGGTCCCTCTTTTGAGACCTCCCTCTAGACCATAATCCAATAACTAAAGGGTTGGTACCTGGCACAGCAGGGGGCCTCCAGAAGCCTGCTTTAGCAATATGGTCAGTTCTTGCTAACTGGTTGGTGCCCTATACCAGGTAGTTTGTTAGAAGTTTTAATATCACCCATGATATCATTCAAAATAATTTGGAGGGACACAAAACCTTTTCCCCACTGTGAGCATATTCTACATCTCCCCTCTCCCTGCCACGCTCGCTGCACAACAGCTTATTTCCATTTCCTCAAATTCTTCACCCACTTGCACATCTCCTGTGTCTTTTGCAGTTGTTATTCCCTTTTCCTAGAATTTATTTTTCTACTACTCACTACCGAACTCCCACTCCTCCCTTTATAGCCTGGCTCAGGTAATCCAAGTCCAAGATATAAATTCCACAATTGAGAATAGTGATAGTAACTACTACTGTGAAGAGGGAGGGGAATCTAAGCTGAGCCATTTAAAGCTTCTTTTTCTTTTCTTTTTTTAATTGTGAGATAGAATATACACACAGAAAATGTATTAGACAAATATGTTTAGCTTGACACATAGTGATAAAGACAATGCTGGTAAAGAGCAACAGCTAGGTGAGTAGTTAGAACGTTGCCAACGTCCAGTCACAGACGCCTCCTTCCCTCTGGTGGTGGCCTCCACCCCGACTTCTGCGGTAACTAATCCTTGCTCTCCTTATGCATTCCTAAACAATGTAGCTTAAATTTGCCTGTTGTTGAACCTCATATAAACATATAGTTAATAAAGTTTTGTGTCTGGCTTCTTTCATTTGATATTATGCCTGTAAGATTCATTTATAGATGGGTATGAGGCTATACTTCATCCATTTTCAGTACTGCATAAAATTACATTTTAAAAAACCCCACAATTTATTAAATTATTCTACTGCTGATGGACATTGTGTTGTTTTTAATTTGGGTCCATTATGAACAATGTTGATAGAAATCTCGTACATGTCTCCTAGAGGCATGTGTGCATGTATTTCTCTAGGTTTTATACCTAAGAGTGGAAAACCTGAGTCGTGGGTTTAGGTATCTTCAACTTGTCCAGATAAAGTTAAACTATTTTTACAAAATAGTTGTGCCAGTTTACACTCTCTCCAGCAGGACCTCTCAGGTTTGCTCCCTGAGAAATCTAGCTCCTATGTTGCAATTGGATCACCAGCTGAACTTTGGAACTGGATCCAGTGAAATATCCAAAAGATAACCCTGTATTTGCATGGATACATTTCTGAAAACTCTGTGTAATGTAAGATGTATATATATTGCATCTCTTTTCCAGTGGTTCCTATTATAATTTGAGGGGGGCTGGCTGGTGAGCTCAGTTGGTTAGAGTGTAGCCTTATAACACCAAGGTCATGGGCTTGGATCCCGTACTGGCCAACAAACAAACAAACAAACAAACAAACAAACAAACAAACAAACAAACTGTTAACGCCCAACCCCATTACAATTTGGGAAATGCATCTGTGTGAAAAAAAAATGTGGGGTGTATTAGTTTCCTAGGGCTTCTGTAACAAGTAACCACAAATGAGGTGGTTTACAACAATGGAAATTTATTTTCTTACATTTCTGGAGGCTAGAAGTCTGAAATCAAGGTAGTGGCAGAGCTGTACTGCCTATTATGGCTCCAGGGGAAAATCCTTGGCTTCTTGCCTCCTCTTAGTTTCTTGTGGTTACCAGCAATCCTTGCCGTTCCTTGGCTCGCAGCTGCATCACTTCAATTTCTGCCTCTGTCTTCACATAGCTTTCTTCTCTGTGTGTGGGTGTGTTTCCATGTCTTTGCATGGTCTTCTCCTCTCTGTGCGTCTGTGTCCAAATTTCCCTCACATTATAATGACACCAGTCATGGGATTGGGGCCCACACTAATCCAATATGACCTCATCTTAATTTGATTACATCTGCAAAGACCCTGTTTCCGTGTAAGGTCACATTCACAGGTACCGTGGGTTAGGACTTCAGCATCTCCTTTTGGGGGACACAATTCAACCCACAACATGAGGCATAAAATGTTATAAGAACATTTTTGAGAATAATATTAACTACTTAATAAAACTAGTCTGATAGTTGGGTACATTTAATTCTTCCACATCACTGTAAAACTAAACCAGTCCCTCTGTCCACCCAGCTGTCTTATAAACAGTTGGGCTAGTATCATCTCAGATGGCTTTTTCACCGACCATATGGAGTTTAGATGTTGAAGAAGCTACACAGTTAATATCTGTGCTCCCTTGTTGAGTGGCACTAGGGAGGAAGAGCCATGGGGTTGAACTCATCTTTTAGATACAAACCAGGCATCCTGAGGATAGCTGATTTGTACTGGAGTGGCCTGCGCTATCCTACCATCATCTAATTAACCTGCATCTGTGGGGGCTGGCAACCCCCAACAAACATCTTGAAAGCCTCTTTGGCCTCTGATGGGCCATCAGTGGCAGAGAAGGGAGAGCAAGGCCCCAGATACCTGTATCCATGAAGCATGTAAGGTGGATCAGCCTCTACACTCTGTAATTGTACAAATGGAAAATATAATGAAATGATCAAATATATATCCAACGAATTGACCTGATCTGTGTGACTGGAATGTCCCAAGAGTTAATAAAAGATCATGGCTGTCATTAAAATCCCTATGTCCTATGTTGTCATGTGAACTCTTTGCTTTTCTTCATCTGAAGACCTGCCATATGCCTTTAGCCTGAATATACTCCTCTGACAATTCTTACTCCATTCACTGCATAAACCCAATTCATCTTTTGGGGCTTAACTCCTATTTTACCTCTTGTCCTTGGGGCAGTGCCTGTCATATAAGAGGTATTTAATAATATTTGGAGGATAATTGAAAGAAACTGCTGGCCATACCTTTGATCTCACAGATCATCTTTATCAAAATGTCCCTTTTCTTTTGATTATACTAATTATGGAGTCCTGGCCCCAGGGGGAATGTGAAAACCCTCTTTCTTAAAGTCTGATTATGAGATGTGAAACAGGCTCTGGGATGAATCCAAAAGCTGTCTCTTTAGCTATACAGCAAAAAGGTCTGGACATTGCAGTCTTGGAAAATAAAGTGTTTTCCCTATCTGAATGGGCAAGGCACCATGGAGTTCTGCAACATGAGATGCAGGGGCTGTAGAAAGCATCTATTCTGTCCCTCTTCCACCAATTTTACAAGTGAAGAAACTAAAGTTCAGTGGGGAAAGAGCTTGGCCCCAGTCAGCCAGGTAATCTGTGGAAGAATTAGGATTAGAACCAACCTTTCCAGCTCCCAGGACAGTGCTCCTTCCTGCCCCACCCAGCCTCAAGCTCAAACTGAAAAATATCAGGAACCCTGAAAGTGAGGAAAAAGTGATTCATTATTCATGTCAGCATCACACAATTAAGAAAAAAATAAAATAATGCTTTAAGATACAACATCGGTCTTGACATACCTTTAAAAATATTAATTTTAATGGATGGATTTTAAAGACCTTTCATGACACAGACCATAGGTGTTAACATGGCTGGAGAAGTTGTCTGGCAGCTCTCAACAGGCAGTCATGCAAAATCCTAAGTAACATTGCCAGCCTCTATGTGGTGCACAGAGGACTACCTTGGACCTTCAGCAATGTTGTTGCAATATATCTTTGGAAGTTTGGAAGTCCTGATAAATTCGTCTAGGTAAATATAATCTCTGATCACAAACAGAATAAAAGGACCAGGGACATTTTCTGGAAAGTAAGAGAACCCATCATCACCTGATATTGAAATTCAAAAGGGAAGTCACAGTGGAGATGCTCTTGGCTTCTGACTCCTATCGGTGTGTGGGGGCTTTTTCAAAAGTGGGTACCATCTGTACTACCTGCCCAGTTATGATATTGTGACCAGTGGCATGCATTGGTGAGGTTGTAGCTGGGTGCCATCTGTACTGGGAAAGAGTTATCACAGAGCAGAAGGACACATCAGAAGTGGATATGTCCACGCTGGTGTGTCCTCACTAGGGCCCAGGGGAAGTCACCTCCTTATTGGTGGCCTCATCTTCATTTTGTATTGAGCTAGATGTGCTCATGTTAACTCTATCACTAAGGCCTCTAGTGACACTGTCATAGGATGGTGGGAAAGATGTGGCAGATGCAGTTTCAGATTTGTCTGGGAGTACACAATTTTCATTTGCCATGAATGTAGCAAAACCTTCATCTTGGAGTGACATAGCCTCCTCCTCAGCCCTGGGCACACCTGGGTGATTGGGGAGGGTCAAGGAGCGGTGCAGCACATAGCTCCGATAGGCCTTTTGGATGACAGTGGCTGAAACATCTTCTTGCTTCCACCGGAGGGTGGTTGCTATTGGTTCATAGGATGATTTTGAAAGATTAGTTGCCATAAACTTCTCCTCTATATTTGTCTTCAAAGAATCCAATTCTCCGGATTCTCCCAAAACATTCTTGGTGAAGGCAAAAAGGATGTCCAAACAGTGGATCTTATCTCCAGGGACCAAGGGCAGGTCCATCTGGATTAATATATTCCAATTGGGTTTTGGGATTCGCAGGGGGCCAGAGAGAGTGTCTGCAAAGTCCGAGAGGGCAGAAAAGGCAATAAACTGGGTGGCCTCTGGGTCAAACTTCTCCCAAGTCTCATAGAACATGTCAAAGTCATCCTCGTTCAGGGGATCTGTGCTCTCCTCTGTTGCCACATTGAAGTTCTCCAGAATCACTGCAATGTACATGTTGACCACGATGAGGAAGGAGATGATGATGTAGGTGGTGAAGAAGAGGATGCCCACAGCTGGGCTCCCGCAGTTCCCCCGGGAGCCAATGCTGTTGGGTAGATTGGGGTCACAGTAGGGGGGGCCCGTGTTGAGGATGGGGCTGAGGAGGCCGTCCCAGCCAGCTGATGTGGTGATCTGGAAGAGGCACAGCATGCTGTTGGCGAAGGTCTGGAAGTTGAACATGTCGTCGATGCCAGCCTCCCTCCTCACATGGGGAAAGCTGGCCATGCCGAAGATGGAGTAGATGAACATGACGAGGAAGAGCAGCAGCCCGATGTTGAAGAGGGCGGGCAGGGACATCATGAGGGCAAAGAGCAGCGTGCGGATCCCCTTGGCTGCTCGGATCAGTCTGAGGATGCGGCCTATCCGGGCCAGGCGGATGACTCGGAAGAGCGTCGGGGAGAAGTAATTTTCAAGTGACTTAAGAATTGCAGAAAATACCAGGCCTTTAAAAGAGGGGGGAATGAGCTAATTAGTACCTCCAACCATGAGCCTGACAAAGTTGGCTGTCATCACACTCCTTCATCTCTGCTCCATATCGCCCTCCACTTGAGCATCCGTATTCAAGGACTCTAGGTCCCCTGAGCCTGGCATGGTGGTTGGCACAAAGTAGGGGCTCAGTAAATGTCCATTGTGTAAATCCTCTTTCCCTCAGGTACATATGACCCTTCCTATCATGTTCTTATCTTTCCCTCCACCCAGAGTATCCTCTTCTTAGTCAGCCTCTGTTGTCAACACCCTATCTCTGCAGCCTAGTTCAGTTAGACGTGATTGCAGCATGTTCCACATGCCACAGTCCTGTGCTTGTTTCCATTTATGACACAGACCCTGCTCTTCCTTGATTGCAGCCTTTAGGTCATGACTTTTCCTCCACCCTGGTTCTGTGCTCTGTGAAGGCCAGGACCCCCTATGATTCATCTCCCTATACCCTACTGTGAAGATTGACTCAGTTCCTGGCACATGGTCCTGTAGATAATTGTACGGAGCCTGGTATTAATTACAAGGGGGTCTGAGGAGTTGGGCAACTTACTGACAGCTAAAGCAGAATGTCTTTGAATGGCCAGCTGTCTGCATAATGGCTTTAATTTGTTTCTTTCATTTCCAGCTGTGTTCGAACTCTATGTTAGGGTCTGGAGATGGGCTTCTTAGGGTCAGTTACTGCCCTCAACTCCAACTATGGACAAGGTTGGAAAGATGAAGAATGTGTATGTCTTTTTACGTGATGTCTAATTTGAAGATTTTTGAAGCTTGGTCTTGGGGACCTGTGGAAGCCTATTGGGACCAAAAGCCTCCATCAAAGATGAGGCAAGGGCTGGTCAGTTGGGTCAGTTGGTTCAGTGAGCACAGCCCTGTAACACCAAGGTCAAGGCTTCGGATCTCTGTTCTGGTCAGCTGCCACACACACACACACACACACACACATGCACACACAAAAGATGAGGCAAGGCCTTTGGGTAAGAGGGACTAGAGACTTCTCAGGACAAATGGTGAGGGACGGAGTAGCAAGCTCTTACCCCTTGCAGGGTTCCCTTGATCCTCTTGTCCTACCTCATGTTTGTTATACTCGTATGCATATGGGTGATAACAATATTGTTTGGAAGGAGAGAAGAAGTGGGAAGGGACTTGGGAAATAATTATAATTTTGGATTATAAAATCTTTGTGAAAGGTTTTCTCTTAAAGTTTAGTTTAACTGGGACATTTTTCCACAGTGTGGGGTATATTATGTGTCTGTATAATCTAGTAAAATTTTCTGCCAGACAATTGGTCTACGTATTAATTTGAGTTGCCCAGGATTCTATTTCAAGGGAGAATGAGTCCTCATGCTTGTAGTAATTAGGTACTCAATTTATGTGTGGGGTATATTATGTGTCTGTATAATCTAGTAAAATTTTCTGCCAGACAATTGGTCTACATATTAATTTGAGTTGCCCAGGATTCTATTTCAAGGGAGAATGAGTCCTCATGCTTGTAGTAATTAGATACTCAATTTACAGGGAGAATGAGTCCTCATGCTTGTAGTAATTAGGTACTCAATTTATGTTTTACTGATGGGAAGGCAGAAAGGGAGGGAGGGGCGAAGAGAGGGCAGGAAGATTGACAGGTGGGGCATTTTATTTTTTTATTACTAACATGGGAAGTTACATAGGCAAACTCCCTTCTCTAATATAAAATCAAAATGGCCTTTAGAGTCTTATACTTTGGAAGGCAAAAAACAAAACAAAAACAAAAGGTTTATTTTTTTATTACTAACATGGGAAGTTACATAGGCAAACTCCCTTCTCTAATATAAAATTAAAATGGCCTTTAGAGTCTTATACTTTGGAAGGCAAAAAACAAAACAAAAACAAAAACAAAAGGAAAAACAACCAACCAACTAACCAACCAACCAACAAAAACTCCCATCATGCTCAGTGAAATAAGCCAGACATAGAAGGACAAATGATCCCACTTATATGAAGAATCTAAAATAGTCAGACTCATAGAAGCAAAGAGTAGAACGGTGATTTCCAGGGGCTGGGGGAATGGTGAGGTGAGGAGGTGTTTGTCAAGGGTACAAAGTTTTAGTTATGCATGATGAATAAGTCCTAGAGATCTACCGTATAGCATAGTGCCCATAATTAACAATAGTACAATATATACTTAAAAATCTGCTAGAGGGTAGATCTAATTTTATGTGTTCTTAGCACCCAATAAATAAATAAAGAAGGTGGGAGGAAACTTTTGGAGGTGATGGATACATTTATGGCATTTATTGTGGTGATGGTTTCACTAGTGTGTACTTATCTCCAAACCCATCAAGTTGTATGCATTAAATATGTAGAACTTTTTGCATGTCAGTTATACCTGACAAAGTGGTTTAAAAACAAAACACAGCAGCAACATCAAAGCAAACAAAATGAAACACAAAAACAAATTTAAACCCCCCAAACAAATAAGTGTAACCCAAAGCTGTGTTTCAGCACCAGGGTGGGGAGGTCGCTTACATGCTGCCAAGTTGTGTTTAGATGCTATTGGCTCTTGATAAAAAATCAATGGAAAATTTCCATTTCTACAGCTGTGCCCTGCCATGAAAAGTAAGGTGAGTTGGGATTTGGCCTTCATAAGACCAAACTTTGGCTAAGTCACAAGAAGTCCAAGGACAGTCTCTCGGTTGTTGGTGGGAGGTAGCTGGTTCATTAAAACATAGCCTGATCTAAATTCAGCTCTGCCTCTTACTAATCACTGAGGCTCAATTTTAAAATATAAAATGAGGATAATAATACCTCTTTAACAGGGCTGCTGTGAGGATTTATGGAACCCAGCCTAGTGCTCAGAACTCAGTGAGGACTCAATTATAAGGCTCCATTCCCCATGTTAACATCTGACTCTACACCATTGGGCCAAAATACTGGGCCTGTCATTCAACAACATCCAGACTGGGTCTCAATAGCATTGAACTGTTGTCATTGATGCCGTGACTTTTCTATCACTCACATTTCCTAACAGGACAGTTATATGGATATTTAACTACAGAATCTCCTTTGAACGATCTCCTTTTAGTCTTCCCTCACTCTGCTGGCAACCCACCCCCTTCTCCAGAAAGCATTTTGTGACTCACCTCACCTCACATCACCCACCCCCTGCTTTGAAGACCATAAAGGTAAGGCCCACTGGAAACTCCATCATCTTCCAGTTGTAGGTTCTCAGGAGGAGTAATCATTCACTGTGAGCCCCCAAGGTTTTGGCGATGGGCTGTGCACACATTATGTGCCCGTAAACACTTTATGACAGCATGAAGAAGACCAGACCAATGGAACTTCTTCATTTCACTGAGAGAGCAGCCCAGGCACATTTAAAATCTGCTGCTCTTAGAAGGCTGCAAATACCAGGCTCTTCTACTATTCAACACGTATCTTTTAAAGTCTGCTGGTTGTCCCCTTGGTTTTGAAAGAGCAGCCAAAACAACCCCAAGCATAGGCCAGCCTTCTCCACCACGTGGCCGCCCACTTACTCAAGATGGAGAGGACCACAACGATGAAGTCAAACACATTCCAGCCATTGGTGAAGTAATAATGCCTCAAGGCGAACATCTTCATGACACACTCGCCAGTGAAGACGGCCACAAAGAACTGGTTGATTTTGCCGAGGGTTTTCGTCTTTTCCTCGCTCTGCTCATCGGTCTCTACCATCATGGTGATCATGTTGAGGCAGATGAGGACCATGATGACAATGTCGAAAGCTTGTTTGTTCACAATGTCAAAGATGAAGCCCTGGTATTTGTTCTGAGAAAACAAGAGACGGTGGTATCAGGGCCTTTGGGCCGACGTAAACCAGGCATCTGGAGGGGCTGGGTTCTCCATACGTGAGTGTTAAAAGCCTGTCTTTCTTGTCTTCCTTACACTCCACATCCAAACAGACGCCACATCCTGTCCTCACCCCTTCCAAAATCTTACTTCTAGTTAACTCTACATCATTGTCCCACTTCAAGCTTCATCACCTCTCCTGGCCCCTTGAAGTCACCAGGAACTTCCTTTGTCATGGCCCATTCTCTTCCCTCCATTTGCAATGTCCTTCCAGTCCCCTCTGTTGGCTGTCTAAATTCCAATAGTTGTGAATGATCCATCTCTCTTAAGCCTCACATCCTTCAGGGAGTTTTCCTTAATCATGTAGCACCACCCCACTCTGTCCCTTCTTTGGCTCCCACAGTCTAGTCTTGAATTCTAGCATTTCACACATGCTTTTCTTCTCTACTAAACAGTGAGCTCTTTGAGGATAGGGGCCATGCCTTACTCAGGGGCCATGCCTTGCTCAACCTCATGTTCCTGTAGTGCCCTGCACAGAGCAAGAGTTCATGAACTGCTTGCAAAATTACTGATTTGAGCTACTTTGCTGAGGGTAAAGTCAAGTGCAATGGTGCCACTTATTCCTGGATATGTTCTCTCTTTATTTCTGGGGCTGTGTAGATTCCTAAGCAAATGCAAGCATAGGGCATGGGGTCAAGTCTTGGTTGTTTGTATTCCTGGAGGGAGTCAGAGCAACCTGGATAACCAAGAGATCATTTATATCTGGTAGTTTTTTTGGTGCCTTTAAGAAGTTCCTAGTGTAGCTCTCTATTCTTCTTGAGTTGTTAAGTCTTACTGGTCTTGATAACGACACCATTCTCCTCTCTGTACTTTCTCTGAAACCCTTCTCCTGACCTCCATAGAGCTCACTACCTTGATCTTCAAACATCTCCTCTTACTCAAAGGCTGCCATTCTCCCCAACTCCATGTACCTCAGGGCTAGAGATCAGGCCTGGGGTCCTGCTCATTCCCCACTGTCCCTTCTGGACATTTGCTCCTCCTGTGCCATGTAAACCCCTTCCTCCTTGGAAGCTTGTGTTATCTAGCTAGTCCACCTTCGTCTCCTCATTACTACCACTACCAACCTCCTGATGCCTCTGCTTCATTCCTGATTAGTGAGGCTCTTGGCCACACTTGCCCACTCTTGGCTGTTATCCTAGGTATCTCTAATGTCCACATGAATGGCTCTTAGTCTCTCAGTTCCTTCAGTAAATCTCTAATGACCTAATTTTTCTTAACTTAAAGCAAAATCTTCCTGAGCTTCACGTCTCCTTTCAGATATCAACCTTGGTCTCTCCCCACTTTTGCAGCTAAATTTCTTGAAAGAGTTGTATACAGTGCTGTCTCCCATTCACTCCTCAATCCATTCCAACAGAACTTTCCCCCCAACCCCGCCACTGAAGTGGTTCTTGCTAGGATCACCTTGTTTGACATTGCTTACCACCCCTCCATCTTGACATTCTCCTTTCTTAGTTTCCGTCATGCCTAACTCTCCCGGTTCTTTTCCTGGTTCTTTCGGTTGCTCTTTTTCAGTCTCCTTCACCCAATTTTTGGATATTAGAGTTCTTTGAGGCTCAGTCCTAGACCCTCTTTGCTCTTCACTCCATTCTTTCTCCCTTGGCAATCCCTCCAGCCTGTGAATTAGTATGTGTGTGATTTTTGCTAATTACTTGCCTCTGTCACTGGATGGTAATCATCATGAAGGCAGGAACTTTGTCTATCTTGCTCACTGCTCTAATCCTAGTGTCTGCATAGTGCCTGGCATGCAATAGATGCTCAATAAATTGTTGAATAAATGGAAGATAGAATGGACAGCTTTAAATTAACCACACCTTAATTAAAATTTTAAAGCCCCCCTACTAGGCTTGATTTAATTTAATTCTGTACAATGGGTATATACTGAATGCACATGTTGTGCAGGGCTCTGCATGAATGGCGATGAGGCAGGAGAAGAACCTGTTAGAGTCTGGCCGGGGAGCTCCTGGGAGCTGCTGAGCAGGCAGAAGGGGAAGTGCTGCGGTGAGACTGATCCCTGCTTCTGCTTCATGGCGGGGATGGGTTGCTACCTTGTCGGGTTAGAGCAAAGAAACAGACTCATGCGGGCCTGGTGCCATGCATAATTGCTGGCTCACATCTTTCCTGGGGTGGGAGGGGGATTGCTGAGCCATTAATCCCTTTCATTTCATCACCAAAAATGGTGAAAAAGTAGAGGCCTATTCATGGTTACATGACTTCTAATTAAACAGAGCAGGCAATGGCATCAGTAAATGTTTGGGTGTCGGGCTTGCCCTGGATATTCTGACTTTAGGGAATGGAGCAGCTTGTTGGCTGCTCTTGGCTCAGTCCGTAGGCAGAGATCACACCTTCGCAATCCTTGGTGCTCTCAGAGACAATGAAGTAGTGATTGATGATGTGATATTCTAGAGCTTGTTATTTTCCTATAAAGTGGAGAATATGAAACCTACTTTTAGTGATTTCTATAGCAAGGAATGTTATGGAATAAAATTCCCCAGTCTTGTGGAAACCTTAGCCTTTACTGTGGATGATACAAGATTTAGAGCCTGGGCTTCACCAGAAGCAGGAGGTGGTGTGTATGTGCATGTGTTGGGGGTCCCTATGTGGTTCCAGGTTAGCTCTGCTGTGACATGGCACCCATGCATATGTGGGGCAGAACTCCTGTGCCAGTGCTCTGCTTTTCTGACCGGCTTGACCTGTTTGGGCTCCTAAGGGAGAAGGTGAACATTCCAGGCTAATAATCTGGTGAAAAGGAAGCTGGGCCTGGGAGGGAGAGTCTTAGGTGGAAGTGGGACTTTCTCTTTTTTCCCTCAGTTTTCTTTCTTGGTTCTGGACTTGAGGACGGAAGATGATCAGGTTTGTGCCACTGAGTAGGTGGGGCCACATGAATGCTGATCAGGAGCTGGAATGTGCCATCACCTTTGGGCCTTGGGGAGCAGCCATCTGCAGTTGCTTCTTGGACTGTGCTCTGCTGGTTTCCCTGTTGGCATCCCTAAGACTACAGATTCTTGTATAAATGTTCTAGCCTTGTATCAGCTATGCTACATTAGGGAACAAAGGAAAGAGTGATTGCCAGGCTTGGACCAGAATATTAAGGGTGCTGTGGATTGATGTCTCTGCAAAACATAGCCTCCCTCTGTGACAGTGTAAAGAAGGTGGGAAATCTTATTATGGTAATTGAAAGGTGGTCCCTTGAAGAGGTGATGAGATTGTAGGACCATGCCGTAGTGAATGGATTGATAATGGTGGTCAGGGGCATGGTTTTGAGGCTTTTAAAAGAAGAGCACATGAGAGGTTAGTCTCTCTCTGCTCTGCCATTTCACAACGTGATACCCTGCCATCACTGAACTAACCACCAAAGAAGGTCTTCTTCAGATGTGTTCCCTAGCCTCTGAAACTGTAAGGAATAAATTTAGTTTTCTTTCTAAATTACCAGTATTACCAGTTCCAGGTATTTTGTTATAAGCAACAGAAATGGACTAATATGGGGTAACAGTTTTTCCATTAAGGTTAGCACAGTGCTGACAGTTAATCAGTAATACATGCCCCTTCCATCCAAAGGGATGGAGAGTCTCATGAGCAGAGTTGGGCTATGTGGCTTCATGTCCCCTCTCCAGGTGGAGGACCTCCCCCAGTGCCATTCTTGGGTGATCTTGGTTGTGGCTTAATTAGGAGAAATGGTGTTTTTGTTGTAGGTCTTCCTGCCCAACCATCAGCTCCTACTCCTATCACAGTGCCTGGAATTCCAACATTGGGCTCATATCTTTGTATTTAGATGGCCTCTCCAGGGTCCCTTTTTGAAATGCAGCTCATCCTGTCCCAGGGACAATGTCCTCCTTGAGAGGAGGAAGCTCTGCAGGTCTGTGGGATTGGTTGATGAGAGGGAAGAGGCTGGATGTCATAGAGAGATTGTGTAGTGTGTGGGGAAAGGTGCCAAAAACCTTCATGATTTTGCCAAGGCTGTCCCTAGCATAGCACTCCTTGGTGTCTGGTTCAAATGTGGATTCAACATTAGTCCAGGCACCAGTAAAGACCAGCACAGGCTCAGCTGCTTGCTTCTCAGTAAGTCTCAGGATCCTCTTCCCATAGTCTCTGACTTGGATCTGGTTAGAGGGGCTCAGCCGTTCACCTACATCTTTAATATTGAGCCCGCTCCTACCCATTGAACTTGTTGACAGATGGATGCTCAGTGAGCCTTAAGGACTTTCACTCAGGCTCACTCAGGCCCAGTTACCTTGATCTTCTGGGGGATGTGGGCGGAAACCTCTACCCCCACAAATGTCTAGACCTCCTATCACTCCCAATTGTAACACTTCTAAAAATCTAGAATAGTAATAAATTCATGGCCACTGTTTCCAAATAAAGTTTGTCAAAGGTCATAACATTTTTCCAATTTAAAAAAAAAGTTTCTCCTGTAAATATTTTTAAGACTCTGTTCTCACAAAGTTTGGTCTAACTTATGCAAATACTATGCCTTGATTTAGAAATTCTAATGCTTTGGCAACAGAATGTATGTCTCCCTAATCATTTAGGGAGAGGCCTGTTCTTTAGTTGAAGGTCCTTAGGCTTCCCTTGTGTGGGTAAGGGCTGATCATTATGCTGTGGGCAGTACCTGTAGTTTTCTTCATAAATGCTACATCTTAGCCACAGAAAGGTTATGTTAAAGGGACAAGAGGCCAATGGCATTCACTGGATTGAATGGCTCAGAAATTCTTTGAAGAAGCTCTGCTATAATTTTAAACATATCAACATCTTTACTCCCAACCCTGTTCATTTGCTCCCTACAGGGGTGCTATCTTGAGGCTACCCAGAAGTTTGATGTTTTTCATCTTCCAGCAGAGAGATGAGAAGAACTTAGGTGATATCATGTGTGGTTTGGGCACTGCATTTAGTGGAGAAATAAAAGAGCGTGTCTTGAGAAAAAAGGAGTCAAAGTGGAGTCTGGCCCTAATTTTTGGCCAATCTTTAAACTCCAGAGTGGGGTAATTTTTGGTTCCTATTGGGCACTTGACCATGACTGTGACTGTATCTTGGACACAGGGGTGTTGGGTTTTGGCCATATCCTCTTTAGTCTACCTTTGTGCATGAGGTGGAATGTAGGATTAGTCTGGAGATCCATTGCAACTAGGTCATGAAGCATAACCATACAAATGTTTCATCTCTGGGCTCTAACACCCTTTCTATCATTTGGCCTAATCTGTTTCTAGTCTCGAACCCTAAAATTGCTGGGGAACTCAGTATTTCCCTGAACAGGATTATCTGGAATGACTATAGGAGATATGTTCACTCCAGAATACCAGAGTCGCTTCTTTTAAACTTTTCATTCCTTGGGCATGGAACCCTCATTAACCTCATCTCCAAACTCAACCCAGATCTGTTCCTCCACAGACAGCATTGGCCAGGCTGTAAGGTTGGATTCACAGACATGTTCTGCTAGAGGGAAGCTCTGGGCTCACCAGGGGCCGTGGGATGGGCTTCTGAGGTTTCTTGGAGCCCAGCTTCTTCATGGCATTGTAGTACTTCTTCTGCTCCTCTGTCATGAAGATGTCTTGGCCCCCTAAGTGCAGGAGAGAGCCATACTGCTGTTATTAAAGCAACGGGAAACCCAGGGATACCAAAATCAGAGCATGCTGGATGGGAAGGACCACCTTCTCCCTCCTCTGCAGAGAGATATGCCAAGCCTAGGATCAAGGAGTGTCTTGTCCAGGTGCCACAACCAATGACAGAGTGGTGGGATTGCGCCCATCTTGGACTCCCTGCCTGGGTCTCTGAAGCAAAGCTGGTTTCTTTCTCTAGGAACCCAGAGATGCTGCCAGACAGAGGGTGGAGAGGGTTTGGGAACAGGACTCAAGGAGAAGGTATATTTTGGCTCAAATCTGAGCCTTGGATACAGCCTGCTCATTCCAGTCAAGTTCTCTGGGCTTCTAGAATCCTGCCAGGGGGGCAAAAGCTTTCTTCAGGGCCTCTGGGGCAAAGACTCTGGGATGCAGTCCCTTGAACCCTTTCTGGAGAGGAGTTATGGCCTTATCTTTGGGTCCTTCATGTCAGAGGGACCTTTGACTGGTTCTCTTGAGGCCGTGCCAGTTGTACTGCCCTCTGTTGTTACAGTGCAGGAAATTGCACCATTAAAAATGCCTTCCTCCCTTAGGATTGGGTGTGAAGTTTTCTTTAGAGACCCTTTGGATTTACTTCATTCAACCCCTCACCTTTCACTTAGTGACATAACTTGAAAGCCACCCATTTCAATAGCATGTTTGTGTAAATTAGTTGCTGCAAATGCTGGGGAAATGGGCTGGGATCTGTGGGGTTGGAGAGATTTCAGAAAATATGTGGACACAAAGGGCTTGCTGGGAGGGACATCTTGATGGGGACAGGGGTAGAGGAGGGAGCAGGGGCAGGGGCAGTGGGAAGGTGAGCACTGTGTGGGACAATGCTGAGGATTCTGGGCAAGGAGTCAGGGATGGTTTCTCGCCCAAGCTTGATCACCAGCTCATCTCACTCCATTACCTAACATGGCCAGCTCTATCTCTGGACCTCAGTTTCCTCACCTGTAAATGGGAGAAAGAACTGCTTGAATGCCCTCAAAGTTCCCCAGGATACTCATGACACTGGTCAGTGCTGTCTTGCTGAGCCCTCTGGGGCTCCCACAGACTTCTCAGGCCCTCTTCTAATGCTCGGAATCCTGGCTGAGGACTTCCTGTAGTGGGATGCCTGTCCACTAGATATAAAGCCTAAATTATAGTAGCTACACTTAGCATCTAGTGCCACTGCATGCTCAGCCCTAAACTAGGTGTTCTTTGTACAGGGTTTTATTCACTTCTCACCACAATCCTGAGAGTAGGTATTATTAACCCTACTAAATGGATGAGAAAACGGAGACTCAGAGAGGCTTAAAATATTAGCAGCATCACCTATCCAGCAAGGAATTGAGTCAGGAATGCACACCCAGGCTTGTATGATGCCAAAGGCAATGCTGTGCCATGTGACTTACCCATGTGCCCCCTTTCTCTCTGGATCTCAGTTTACACAACTCTAAAATGGTACCTTATCTATCTCAGAGGTCTGGAGGGTATTAAATGAGAGGATAGCATGAAAGCATTTTATACTTTTAATCCCCTCATATTTTACTACAAATATGAGAGGTTATCTGGGGACTAGGTTCCTATTAATAAGTCAGCTCCCTTGGAAGCAAAAGCCTTCCTTCCCATCCCAAGGATCATTGGCATTCTGCCAGTGCTGGGGTCTTGGGCCTTCTTGTGGTCCTGACTCAGTCCTTTGGGGGTCAGAGCCCCAAACAAAGCAGCAAGTGCTGGAGCCCTTTCTTTCCCTGTTGATATTTCCCAAGGGGTCACCTGGGACACAATGAACATACCTGGTTGCAGTTGGGAAGACTGAGGTCACTTTAGGAAGGTGGATGGGAAACCAGAGTGGTGATGTGGGTGGGGGGTACATTGTTGACACAGAGAGAAATGCAGCTCTTCCAGCAGCAGCAGCAGCAGCCGCCCCAGGCACCATGCAGGGCTGAGGGCTGCAATCAGGGGAAAGTGTTGCTGTTGGTGTTAATGGCCTGGAGTTGGCTCCTGGTCAGGTGCAAAGGGCTGTGAGTAGTGTTGGGTTTAGTCATGAGGCCGGCGCTGGCCAGCGGACAGGAAGAATGAGATTTGCCACCACAGCAGAAACACCAGAGCTCCACTTATCTTTTTTTTCTGTTGATTGAAGTTGTCAATTATGACCCCAACAAAGAGATTCAATGTGAAGAAGCCACCAAAAATGATGAAGATGACGAAGTACAAGTACATGTACACATTGTCCTCCCATTTGGGCTGCAAAGTGACCTGTGAGCAAACAAGGTAGAGAATGGTAAGGAGAGGGATGTCTTAGCTTAGTTTCATCCTAAAAGCCAACCCCGAGACCAGGACCTGGGTGCAGGTAATTTATTTGGGAGGTGATCCCAGGAAGCAGGCACGAGGGAGTTGGGGAGAATAAACAGGAACAGGAGAAAAGCTAATGAAGGGGGTTGCTAATCATGTGGGCAGCTGGTACTCAGTCCTGCTGGGGCCCTCTGAGGAACTATGTGGAACACAGCTCAGAACTGCACCACCAAGGAACAGGGAAGCTGGAGTTTTTATCTACAGGCTCCCAAACTAACAGTGAGGGTTGCCCTTGGCGACATTAAATCCCATGTTCTTGGGGGAGGGGCTGCTTAGCAAGTTCTGGAGCACTGAAGAAAGTCATCAGACAGAGAATCAGAAATGCAGCATGTGAGTGAACTCAGAGGTGGTCTGGGGGACATGGGACAGGGCACCAACAGTGTCTGCCACAGCGGGAAGGGGTCTTTCCCCAACAGTATCTCCTCACCTGGCTCTCACCATAATACCTGAAATTCAGTCTCATTCCTTCCGAGGCCCTTTTCTTCTAGCCACCACCCTCTCTCTTGCCCCTGTCTGGGAGTGGCCTCACATACACTGTCCTTTACAGGTTATTTGATGCTTTCCTCAGTGGTCAGCAGAGTAAGAGCTTGAGAAACCTGGGGAGTGTGCATGTAAAGGGTGCAGGCCAGGTGGACTAAGACATCCATCAGAGGGTCAACTGGACACTGCTGCAGGGAGGGAGAGTGTGAGGCTGCTGGGTGATCACCTCTTCTGGTACCAAGGTTGTCTTCATTGCATTTCACATACAGACTGATATGGGTGGGATGCACAGAGGCTGTAGGCCTGGTGGGCTGAGACTCACCTCACGGGAATCAACAGCTGCATACATGATGTCCATCCAGCCTTTAAAGGTTGCCTGGGAACAAGGAGCAGAGGCCACTCAGTGTCTGCCCATCCCATACACTGGACCCTTCCCAAGCCATGATGAGAGGGCAGGATGCCAGCTAAGGAGTCTTGAGGAGGAAAGGGCACGGGCAGAAAGGGAGAGGGAAAAGTCTTCTCTGCACTCAGTGACTTGACTGCTCTCACATGATGATTTAAAGTAATTCCACATGTGGCTGTTTCAGAATAGAGTGGTATTAAAGACATGGCACCTTCCAGAATGTGGCATGGGCTGGCACCTAGATGTCTGGCTCTAGTGCCAATTGCTATGAGGCTGCTCTGTGCCCTTGATCAAGGCTCCCTCTCTCAGGGCTGCCATTTTCTCAACCACTTTCCCGCTTCAGGCACATGACCTAAGAATGGGATATCCCCCCATCTGGAAAGTGGGGAAGTTGGGAATAGAAGACCTCCACATTCCTGCCTTCACTTTTTGCATTCTTGAGGTCCAGACACTGGGTGTGCCCTCCAGCATGTTCAGAGTATGACAGACATCTGAGGTTTTGTACTCCTATGTCTGTTACAGCACTTGGTGGGCTGTTTTGATTTGCTTATTTGTTTTTCACATATAGCATTGGCACCTGGAGCCAGTTCTGACTATGTCCCAGGGCTGAGCACAGTGCCTGGTACACCATAGCTACTCAGGGATTATTTGTTGAAGAAATGAATGTACAAATGGTGAAATATGGGAATGCATGGAAAACTGCATGACAAAAGTGTAAGTAATTGTATCAATGCTTGAACAAATTGAAGGCTGAATGAACAAGTGGGTGAAGGCAAGGGATGAAGGAATAAATGAATGATGAAAGAGAGAAGGTGTGAATGTGGTTGACTGTCATTATCACCAACATTATCTATCATTACAGTAAACCTAATTAGATGTAATCATTACCATCTAGGAGATGATGTGAGATAGAAGAGTGTTTTGTACAGGTAGTGTCTTCTAAGTCTTCACTTGATATAATCCCATGGCAGGCCCATCCTCCCTTCATTCTATTCTATTAGCCCACACTTATCTAATTGCACCACTGTGAGATCACGCTTATTAGTTAGGCCCTCCGGTCTCGTGGTATAGTCTGTAGGAATAGAGAATGACCTCGGTTCACACTTAGTGCTGCCCCTTGCAAAGTCCCTACACAGCATCTTTTCGGAGATCCCAGATTCTCCAATTTATTGAGAAGCCAAAGGAAGAGACATGGTTGATCTCATGGTTGACTCACCACCTGAAGAAGTGCAAGGTAACCCATTGCTACATTATCAAAGTTGACTTTCACGTTGACCCAGAAGAAGGTGCCAGTGTAGTTTTGAATCTTACAATCAGACTCATTATTCACAATTGTCCAAGGCACAAGAGAAAAGTTGTCATTTGTTGTGTTGATGCATCTCCAAAACTTCCCTGCAAAGAAGTTCACGCCCATGATGCTAAAGATGAGCCAGAAGATGAGGCAGACGAGGAGGACATTCATGATGGATGGGATGGCGCCCACCAGGGCATTGACCACCACCTGGTGGAAAATAGAAAAGGACCTGAAAACTTCCAAATGCCCACCCCTTCCTGCTGAACCCCATTTCTTTCTACACTCACTCTGGCTGCTTCATTAGCCAGTGGCCTTGGAAGCAGCAAGAGAAGTGGTTTAATTAGTGTAATAACTCATTCAGAAGACTGAGAGACACTGGGCGGGTGGAGATGGGTTTAGACCTTCTCGCTTATCCAGGGCAGGTTTCAGTGTCTTTCCTCAGGACTGAGAAGATGAGTGAGTCTGCAAGAACATACATACTCACTTAGGGGGGTGAGTGTGTGTGTTGTACTTGCATGTACAGACTTCTAGAACCTTGCTTTATTCTCCTTAAATACAACACACAAAATATAGTTTAGAGTACGCTTTGGTCATGAATCATTGAAAATCTAAATCAGTATTTACAAACTTGCTCATTTGCAAATCAGCAAACGAGAACTTGGATACAAGATAAAATAAATTTCAAACTATTTCGATCTTCAGTTCCAATGTTTTTAAAGGTACAGGTTAATTTTAAAAGTCCACTTTTGTTTTTGAAGCTCTACTGATCACTTTGAGCCAAGGGTGGAGGAACAGAGCAAAACCTCCCTTTCTGCCCTGGGAGCTTCTGTAATTCTGAGGAAGGGAAGGAGGAACACTTAGCAATCTCTACAACAAGGCTCAGGCTGTGAACATCAGTCCTGAGAACCAAGGGAGGCAGGGAGTGCAAGGTGAAGGCTGTTAGCAATGGATAAGGAAAGAGGAGGATGAAAAGGAAAAATCCACAGGACTTGACGGTAGACTATGTTAGGTTGGAGAGAAGATGCATTCCAGTGGGTGGTGGCTGAGGTGCTGAGCTGACATGTCACTACATTTAAATGGAATGTTAGGGGAAAGACTCATTTGTCATGGAAAAACAGAATTTGGGATGTTCTGGACATGCTGGCAGTAAGAACAAGAGGCAGGGTTGGGAGACTGAGATAATGGATGCCAGTGGAGCCATGATCAGGATCACTTCACTCAGACCAAGAGGGAGTTAAGTCTGAGTCCTGGTGGATGTGTTATCTATGAGGGACAAGGGAAGAGGGACTCACAAAGGGATTTGAAAGATAGTTAGGAGAGTCAGGCCATGCAGCGCCACCAAAGTCAGCAGGAAGTGAAGACTCAGAGCCAATCTTTGGAGGTGGGGCCTGGAGCTCGGGGTCAGTGGTATGGAGGGTATAAAGGAAATAATGATTAGCAAATGTTGCAGATCAGAGAAGTTTTGCAATAAATCTTACCCGCATGCCTTCGAATCGAGACAGAGCCCGCAGCGGCCGCAGGGCACGGAGAGTCCGAAGGGCTTTGATGGATGCCATATCAGAATATTTCAGGATCTTTGCTACGAGGCTTGTCAGTGAGATCTGAATGCAGGCAGAGAACAAAAGCATCACCCTAGGGTTCCAGAAAGGCAGTCCTGGTGGAAAGAGACAGGAAATCTCTGCCCAGCCTCTTACCCCTACCTGTCTAAGCCATTGCCTTAGCTCCCACCTTATTCTGGACTCCAATGTGAAGTCGAGAAGAGTCTAGAAGAGTTCAGTCCCTTCTCTTTTGTTAAAGATTTCATTCATTACTTACTCGAGCTTCTAGGCAAGAAAAACTCAGTCTCCCACATCACCACACCCTGGTATATAGGTAGCCAAGCTCCCAGTGTATTAAATCAACACTTCCTTTCCTTCTAGAGGCACCAGCCAGGTTCCAACAACCTTGAAACTTTGACTGACTTTCAGAGACTTGGAGAGGTAATGTCCTTCCATGGGGCTATGCTGAAAGTCTGTTTTGAGGGACATAGTTAATATCAATAGTATTTGCTCAGAAAAGTGGGGTGGAAAGGATCCTTGTCTGGGTGTGTCTAGTTTCCTCTCCATTTTGGATTTTTTGTGATCTTGGGTCAGTGTCCTGCTAGTACTTTCACCCTTTGTAAAATTAGGAAGTGAGACCAAGAATTCCAAAGTTCTTACAGCTCCACAGTTCTTCGATAAGAGTGACTGGCATGGGTCCTTGAGGTCCAGCTTCAATAGATACCTGAGATACAATGACTGAGTTGTGAGGCCCTGTTGGTCTGTCAGTTTTCTTTAAATGGCAGTTGAAGGACTGCAAAGGACACAAACTGACATAGGAAAATGGTCTCTCCTTCTGGTAACTATGAAGGTACCAGGGAGACAACATGGGCATAGGCTTGAGTTTGATGGAAGCGTGACCCAGTCCTGGGAAACCCCAGCTTCACTATGAATGGCATGCTGCATCAGGCTTAGCTTATCCTGGCAACTAGTTGGGAATATGCACAGGATGTTCAGAATGGGAGGGGTTACACTTGGGTGCTAGAGCCTCAAACAATGCCCATTCTCTAGATGGCTGGCTTATTCCACAAGGACAAATAACTAGAATGGAAAAGACCCCCTTCCTTCACTCATGTAAGGCTCCAGACACCAGCAGGTGGCACCCAACTGCTTGGCTGGCTGAGGGCAGGGAGGTTTGGGGCCAGTTCCATGCTCCACTCTATTCAGTCTTTTGCTTCACCCCCCGGGAAGGCTGCCTCATGTGCAAAATCTGCAATTATGGCAGATAGGGACTGGTGCCTCTCTAGCAAAGCCTACCACCCAAGCCCAGCTCCACTCCCACTCCTCAGGCCACTAGCCTCCCAAGTGGTCTCCAGAGTATTGTATCCATCCCATCCATTCTCCACTACAAATCTGATTATGACCATGTCTCTCTGTTACTCCCAACCTTCACTTATACTTTATCACCCTCAGGATTAGCTTCAGACTCCTTAGTCTGTATTATATGGTCATACCTACTTTACCATTCATATTTCAACCACATATTCTACCCAAATCAAATTGTTCCCTAAACACAGTTGTGCCTTTGCTCAGGGTCATTCTTTAACTAAGATTGGTCTTCCCCAGTCCTCTTTGGTCCTGATCATTTCTATGCCCCACATCTAATTCCACTTCTTATAGGAAGCCTTCTTAACCACCCCACCCCCTGAGTGGAAGAAAGCTCATGTCTCTGTGTCCCCAAGACACTAATTTCCCCCAGCTCAGCACATTCCTCCTTATAATACTTTTATTTCCCTGTGTGTGTCTTATTTACAAGAAGACTAAAGTGCAAACTCCTGGAGATAGAATTTATTTCTTGCTTCCATCTCTCCCAGAGCACTTCATAAGACAATCCTGTATTTAGCAGTTATAATAAACATTTGATAAGTGGAAGAAAAGATAAAAGCATGTTGGGATGGATGGAAGGAAGGAAAGAAAAAAGGAAGAACAGCTGGATGGAAAGTTGAAGAATAATTGAATAGGAGGATGGATTAAAGGATACAAGGATGAATAGAATAGATAGTTGAATGAAAGGGTGGAAGAAAGAAATCAAAGAGAAAAAGGAAAAAGTGTGGAAGCAGGGAATAGTGGATGAATTGATAGGATGGATGGATGGAGGAAGGATGGATAGCTGCATAAAATGACTGATGGATGTATGAAAAGTTGAATAAAATAGATAAATGGAGGAAATTAGTGAATGATTGGAAGGTTGATTGGATGGATGAATAGATGGATGAATGGTTGTGAAAGGATAAATGGACAGATGAGTGACAGAAAGAAGGCTAGACGGATGAGCTAAAGGAAGAATTGAGAAACTGAAGAATGAATGGATAGAAGGATGAATAAATAGAAGAACGATTGGAGGGAAGATGCATGAATGGGTGAACAGAAGGTTAGATGACTGGATAGGTGGATAGAGAGATGAGTCAAAAGACAGAAGGATATAATGGTTAAGGACCAACGGACGAATGAATGGAAAGAGAGGACTGATGGAGAAGGACAGATAGAAGAAGTAAAGATAGATGGATGTTTGGGAGGAAGGACAAAGGAAGGGTGAATGGTTGGACAGATGGAAGGAGGAATGTATGGAAGGAAGGACAGATGGTTGAAAGGAAGAAACAGTAGGAGGATAGATGAAATGAGTAGTGACCAGTTAAGGAGACCAGGACTGAAACTAGTGAGACCTACACAGGCAGGCGTGACTGTGCCCCTAACAGGGGTGGGGAGCCAGAATAAAACATTCTCCCTTCATTTATGAATAATTATTTCATATGCACAAAATTATCACGTGTGACTCAAATTTCAGGCCTCACAGCTAATCCCTGTGTACAGTGGCCTGATGCTGCTAGCACATTGGCATAAGGAAAGAAGAGAATTGAACGCACAGGCCTGCTGTGGAGAACCTGCCAACATAGGAGGCTGGACAGAATGTTCTGTGCTGGACGCCATCCAGCTTCAGGAGGCAAGCACAAAATACAGACATGTTTCCTGACACCCCTACTGTGCAGACCTTGGTGCTGGTTACTGCAGGAGTGGGGAGGCAGAGACAAACACAGCACATGCCTCACCCTTCCTGCAGGAACCCTCAGCTAGGCAGCAGTGAACAAATAACTCAGGTAGCCATGTTGCAAGGCAAGAGGGTAGTGGTGGAGACAGAAAAATGTAGTGGTTAAGCTAAAGGAGAGATGCTCGGAGGAATCACAATCAAATGTGTGGGAGGCACGTGGTAAATTCCCTAATGCAGGGGGTGGTGGCCACAGGCACTGTGAGTCTGAACACGCGAGCTTCACTCATTCCCTCTCCAGAGGGACACTTTCTCCCTTTCAGTGGTGAAACTCAGTGGTTCTCAACCATGGCTTCACACTGGAAGTGCCTGGGAGCTTTTACAAAATACACCCAAACATCAGAATTTCTGGGATGGTGGTGTTTATGCCCTGTATTCTTAAGAGCCCCCTAGCAATTCTAAAGTTTAGCCAGGGCTGAGGACCATGGAGTCAGCAGGTGGGCAGATTCTTTTTGTTCTCATTCCAGAGCTCCCCTAGGTCAGAAGCTCTGTCAGTGGATACAAGGCCGTAAGACCTTTGAGAGCCTCATGTGTCATCTTGCTTTGGATGTAAACATGCAGAAGACTGTAGTGGTCTTTCTGGATGGGGGCCTGAGAACCGAGGGCTCCCTGACCACCACCATTGTGTCAACATCATGTACTGCCTGGACCTTACCACTCATAGGTGTGCAGACTCCTTACCAATTGCTCAAGGCTTTTCTTCAGCAGAGCCCTTGAGGGCCAGGTCTCCAAGCTCCCCTTGCACTGGACATAATCATCACTTATAGTCAGAGACGAGGGCCCCAAACCCCACGTGTGCCCACTGAGCCACTCACATTCACGATGAGGAAGTCGAGCCAGCACCAGGTGTTGGTGAAGTACTTTTTGAACCCATAAGCCACCCACTTGAGCAGCATCTCGAACACAAAGATAAAGGTGAACACTCTGTCAGTGTACTCCAGCAAGGCTTTCACTGTGGGCTTCTGCTCCAGGTAACAGTCTTCAAAGGCCTGGTAGGAGGGGAGCACAATGTCAGACTGCCTGAACCCACAGCACTGGGACCAGACCAATGGGGCAGGTCCTAGCCAGTCCTGCGTGTCCAGCTCGCCTGCATCAGTTTCTCTTCTCTGCACGGGGCAGTTCACAAAAACAAAAGTAAGAATCGCCAATACACCTCTGAAAAAGAATGTTCTAACTCACTGGTAATCAAGGAAATTCAAATTAAAAGAAGATGCCAACTCTTTTATCAGGCTGGTGAAGATGAAAAAGAGTGTGGGAAACCTGAGTGTTGCTGTGGCTGTGGGGGGGCGGTTACTCTCGTGAGTGACAGGTGGGAGTGAGAACCTGATCAGTCTTTTGGGAAGCCAACGTGGTTATAGAAACCCAGCAATTCTGCCTCCAAGAACTTATTACAAGGACACTCGATGCTGTAGGTGCCCACCCAGATGCTCTTTAAGGGGCCAATGCCCCAGTCCCTGGCTGCTGGGAATGTGGGCTCCTGACTGCTCACAGACGCCCCCTGAGGGAACTGCCTCCACCTTGGGGAATGCTTAGCAGGTTTCATCCTGCCCCTGGATGATGAGGCTCCCCACCGACAGCCCTCAGCCAGTGACCTGTCCCCTTTGCCTCAAGGTGGGATGACTCTGTGGTACCCTTCTCCATGTGGGATCAGCTGAGGCTGGATTTCATCTGAACCCACATCTCAGCTCAGCTCTGTTCCCTGTTCCATCCCACTTCACTCACAGGCCTCACCTGAGAGCACTCCCTCAATAAACTGCTGGCACAAGAAACCTTGCTCCTGGGTCTCCATGTAGGACCAAGCCTAAGATGGGAAATCATCCAACCCTTAAGGCAGGAAATCACCTACCATCTCTAAGGCAGTATATGTAAGAATTTTCAATGTGTGTTGGAGGTGAACATAGGGATTGGTTGAATAAATTGTGGCACATTCTTGTAATGGAATATGCTGTGGCCCTTAAATGAGAAAGTATGAGAATACTTACTGAGAAAATTTACCAAGAAATTACAGAATGCATAAATATGGTTTTATCTCTGTAAAATTTATGTGTTCTGTGCATAAGAAAGATGGGAAGGAGGTACACCAAAATGTTTTCAAAGTGAGATTCTCTTTGAGTGATAGGGAAATGGATGATTTTTCTCTTTGCTTTTTTCATTATTTCCAAGTATTTTATTTTATTTATTTTTTGCACTTTACTTTGTCAGATGAAAATGCACATTATTTTCTAAATGTACTCAAAGTAAAAACATAACCACGACTAAATTTGGTGCAAGCCAGTTCGGTCCCACAGGGAAGGAGATGGGAGGTGCTGGGGCTGGAGCAGCTGCTGCAGGATCTGATCTCCCTCCTGGGAGAGCAGGGAATGGCAGCTGGGTGTGAGCAGGAGGGGAGGGAAGAGAGAAGGGAGGGAGCAAGGGAGAGTGGAGAAGAGAAACAGGAGAGAAGGCCGGGGGAAAGACATAAGTCAACGAGGCAATAAGGAAAGCACCTGGTCAGCAGCAAGAGGGGTTATTTGCTGTTTATCCAGGACAAAAAGGAGAGAAGGGAAAAAACAGTACTCCACCTCCTCTTGTCCAGCAATTTGGCCTCTGCACTGTGCTGAGACTGCTGCAGTGCAGGTGGACCATCGCTGCACTGTGCCAGGACAGCAGGCACCGTCAGATGCGGCCGCACCCTCTCCACCACCCCCAAGATGGCAGAGCAGCCCCTGCCCCGGAAACTCTCTTCTCCCTCCGCTTTGTATCCTTGCCACCCTACTTGTCCTCCCACTTCTCAGACCGTGCCTTGTCCCTTGCCTGTGTTCCTCCCTAAGGCTGAGGTCACACACTGAGCAGTTTTGGCACCATTCCTGGGATATCTAGCATTTAAGTGGGTGCCCAGATGTTTAGTAGATTGTAGGGAGTAAGTGACACAAGAGGAGCAAGGCAAGAGAAAACACTTGGAGGTATGAAGCAGGAGAGGGGGGCTCTTGTCCTGGCCCTTCAGCTAATTAGATGGGACCCCGGCAGGTCCCTTTTTGTCTTTGGGCTTCACTTTCCTCATCTATAACGTGATAACCGGGGATGACAAGGCCCTTCCTATGTCTGCACCTACTTTGGTCTATTGGGGTGAGTAGCTGAGATTGTGTAGTGAGCCTAAGCCATGGTATAGAGAGAACCTTCCTTTCTTGTCCTACAAAGCCCAGTATTCAGCCAGGGGCTTAAAAAGTATCTTCTAACTCTGAATTTCTACTCCTGTAAGGTCTTGTTGTTCAAAATGTGGTTCTGGACTGGCAACCTCAGCATCACCTGGGAGTGATGCTGAAATGCAAATTTATTGGAAATGCAAATTCTCAGGCCTCACCCCAGATCTATTGAATCAGAATCTGCATTTTAACAAGTTCCCCAGATGATTGAATTTTGAGAAGTGTTGCTATAATGATTTTCCATGAGCCTTGAAGGAGTGATAGTAGCATTCCCAAGTGGTTTGATAAAAGAAGGAAGGATGGTCCTCATTGTAGTAGGCTTTCGGAGAAGGCCAGTGTGTTTGGGAGGCCAGAGGTTGGAAAGCCAGGGACTTTGGGATCGAATGAGGACAAAGTTAGGTTTTGCTACTGACATATTGGGTGACCTTGGATAAGTTTCTTCAACCCTTTGAGGCTTTGTGAAATGCATACACTCACTGCTTGAAATACTTGCAGCCAGATTTAGCAGGCCAGGTTTAGCAGGCATGGGCACCTTGAGCACCTTCCATACTCTGCTGCTAAGAGGTGCCCTCAAGCTGGGCTGCAGCTCTCCTTCCAGCTACAGGTTGGGGACTTTCAGCCCAGGAGTCTGTGGAGCCCACTGATGCAGCTCCAGGGTCTTTGAATTATAGGAGATCCCATCTGGAGGACTTTGAGGTAGGAGCCCCCCCCCCTTACCAGAGACCCACTGCTGAGCAGGATCATGAAGATGATGAAGCTCTCGAACCAGCTGTGCTCCACGATGCGGTAGCAGGTCTTGCGCACCTGCCAGCCCATGGCCCATGGAGACTTAGTGGTATTCACTTTGCAGCAGGGACAGCGGCGAATGCAGCCTGTGGGGAGACGTGACTAATGGTTGGTGACATCCCATTGGACAAAGGGGATCATTTCTGCTCTAGCCCTGCAAAGAAGCCACTCTGCTGGGAAACCCACTCACCAGCCCTTTGGAAGAGAATTTCATTCTTGAATATGAGAGAAGAAAGGTCTCTCAATCCAGTCTTCCAGTGTTCCTCTCCATCATCTGCCCACTCTGATGTCCTCCCCAGCCATTCTCCTTCTTACAGGTGACACTGGTGGTCCCTGTCCTTATGTCCACCCATCTCTGGAAGGCTGACAAGCCTCGGGACATGGTCCTGGTGGTGTCTGAGGGGTCATGCTTTGAACCCATGCTGAACTGAGTGCCCCCCACGTGGCTGGGATGGGGCCTGGGTCCAGCTGAGCACAGGGTCAAGTGGAACTAGAAACTCAATGAAGTGTTTTTTTTTAAAAAAATTTAATTTCTATTTTTTAAATTATTGAGCTTGCAATTACCTTAATAGTGTGAACTATTTGTTCATTTATTGCACAAATATTTGTTGAGAACATAATGTGCCTCACTGTTCTGAGTACTGAGGAAAAAGATAAGTAAGACATAGGTTCTGCCTTCAAGAGTTACACAAGAGACTGAGGGAAAAGACAGTTGTGGCCCTCTTCTGGGTCTTTTATATTCAAAATCGGGGAGTTTACAGTGGGTGGTGACTACCTTTTCCCTTTTCGGCCTCAAGAGGGCTGGTTCATAACTCAGGGAGGTGTTTTAGGGGTGACCCGGAAGGCCAGCACCTGTTTGTCATGTCTGACATGACATGAGATTCAGAAACCAGGCTAGGCTGCTGTGACTGTGGCATTTGTGTCTGATGCTGGTGCCCTCAAGCCTGGGAGGGAGGCAGCGAGGGGCCCCGAATGTCTGTCCCCTGTGGACCCAGGGCCAGGACCCTGGACAGAGAGGGGCCTGGGTGAGTGTTTGATGAACTGGGTTTTGACCCTAATTACTGTCAGTGTGAGAGGCCTGCAGTGCCCTCTACCTTGTGTGAAGCAGTCATCTGGTTCTTCAAAGTCATCCGCCAGCTCAGAAATCTTCCTCCGGATCTCCTCGGGATCTGGGCAGTCCACAGTGCTGCCCTCCGACGAGCTTGTGTCGTCTGCTCCCTGTGGGCAGAGGCCCAGGGCAGTGAACTCAGCTCTCTGAGGTGCCCAGGGAACGTGCACACAGTCACTGCAGGTCTGACTGACTGAATCCTGGAAGCAGGGAGAGCCCCCAGGGCCTGGGCCCACTGCTGGGCCCGCCATGGCACCCTTGTATGTTTGGTACCTTGCCAGCTGAGGCCCAGAACACTGATGCTCTCTGGGACCCCTGGAGACTTCACTGAGCCCCAGGAGGCTGTAAACTTCCAGGCCTCTGATGGAGTGCTGGCGATGGCCCGAGACACCGTAATTACACCCATAAAGACTCTCGGGCGTTCATTGGGCTTGAATATTTAATCACCGAGTAGTGCTGCCCTCCTGGCAGCTCCAGCCCTCTAATGTCTCCAGATGGATTCAATTAGAAGTTGAAGCTGCTCTCATATGAGCAAACCTGATAGCTTGGCTAATGGACCCAAATGGTGGGGTGGGACCCCATCTGTCACTGTCAGGTCCCGCCTTGCCTGGCCAGGGTCATGCATGAGAAAACAAAAACAAAAACAACTCTCAGAAGCTGCGTACTGAACACACTGAGTGGAGAAAACTAGCCGGGGGAGTCCTTAAGAAGGAAACACGATGTCCATGTGTAGAATGTGACAACCCTCACCCAGTGGGAACTCATGGCCCCCAAATCCCATCTCAGGCCACCCTCTTATTTCCACCCTCCCCCCACCTTGCCTGGGGGCACACAGCCAATAGCTGACATTCCTCAAGCTGAAGGGCCTGATAAACATGGGGGTGAATTATGTCTTTCTTATCTTTGCCCAGTCCGGTGCCTGTCACATAGTCAGCACTTAGTGGCTAGGTGTCACATTGAATTCTTCCATTTAATACAGTGGTACTAAAGATGCTAAACCTTTATAGACACCTCTTTCCCTATAGCTTGTTTTCTTCAAAGATTTGTAAGCGAGACCACAACGTTTATTTTTACCTCTATAAGACATTCCTAAAGCCCAAATCTTCTCCCTGCTCAGTCTCTGTAAGGCTGTCAGTTAACGACTCACCTATAGTCAGCCTCTCCCCAGCTCCAGTCTGTTTTTTGCTGGAGACAATGATGGCAACAAAAGAAAGCGGGGGAGTCGCAAGGGAAGAGCACCTTATCAGCGAGCACCTCCAACTATGATCTGCTGGCTCTGAAAGGTATTTTCTTTCTTTCTTTATGCATCGTCTTTTGTTTCCTTTTTTTCTTGGCTGTCATTTTCTGGGCACTTCCTTCGTGTCAGGTAGGAACTAAACATTTCACAAGCAGCATCTCATTTAAGCCTCAAAAGAATCCTACCAAGTAGGCATTCACATCCAGTTTCATAGATGAAGAAATGGAGGCTCAGAGAGGTTGAGAAACTGGCCCTAGGTCCCACAGCTTGTGGCTCTTCACTCTCTCTTCCCATCCCTACAATCAGCCTGGGACAAGGTTGTGATGAAAGCTGAAATTGTGCTGATTAGCCAGAGGTTGGAAGGGACTTTAAAAATTCCCAGGATGAGAAGTGAGGTAACATGGTTGGCAGCAGTCTGGAATATGCTCCCCCCTCATCCTCCAGCACCCTCACCCCACCCCCGCAGCCCACCCACTGGTCAGTGTCCAGCTGGCTGTTCAACCTCTCCCAGAAGCTCACATACCTACCTCTGCAGGGGCCTGAGGAGCAGCCTCATCTTTCCACTTCTCACCCAGGTATGGAGCCAGGTCCTCGGAGGACATTCCAGAGCCTGGGCTCCTGGGCGCCAGGTGGTCCTCACACCCCTCAACTTGCTGCAGCTCTTCCTGCTAGTGAGAGAGAGTCCCAACTGGGTATGTGGGCCAACCCCTAGAGGACCAGTTCTAAATTTAAAGAGATCTTGCCCATCAAAGGCTGCCAGAATCAAGGACCTCATATATAAAACTAATGTACATACATATGTACACTTGTATGAAGGGAGTATAAAGATTCCAGAGCCAGACAGACCTGCATTTAATTCCTAGCTCCATTATTTAGAAGATCGTGACCTTAGCCAAGTCATTTAACCTCTCTGATCTTCATTTTCTCCATCTACAAAATTGAGAAGGCATGATCTACCTCATTTGGTTATTTTTTTTTTCCTTTTTGTCTTTTTTACTGACCGGTAACGGGATCGCAACCCTCGGTGTCACGCCTGTACACCGGGGACCGGCAACGGGATCGCAATCCTCGGTGTTGCACCCGCACCGCGCTCAGCCAATGAGTGGGAACCGGTCTCCACATGGGATCCGAACCCTCGGCG